TTATTTTATGGAAAGCTTTTACCTACATCTTTGCGTAATCAACCTGCACAGAGCTGCGCAAAGAAATACTACCAACAGTGAGTGGCCAGAGTATGAGGAAACAGGACTGCTTTCCTTGGCCATGCTCGGTTAAAACATTGCTCCTGATACATAAACCAATAAAACAAGGCTGTTTTAATAGCAAGGAGAAACCCTGAGTTTCACTGGAAAAAAATATTGCAGGTAGTTATCAGGTCTGTAATATTTATATCCCCATCTGCAATTTTTTGGAAAGTCAGGGGAAGACTTGTGGTTTTTGACAAGGATTTGCTTTATGATCGCTTTACTACACAGGTGGATGTTTTCTGCAGTAGTTTATTCCTCTCAAGCTAATGAGTGCAGGATCCGGTCCCTCAGCTGTTACCTGTCTGAATGGGTTAATACGTCAGCCGTCTTAACTGTGATGTTTCTGCATTGTAAATAGCCAAAAGGCATTTTTTGGGGGCTTATTTTTCTCCTTCTTACATAAATGGTTGTAGTACCATAAAAAAGCAATAAAAACTGTACAACATGATGCCTGCCTGATTTTCATGAACCACCCGGTGATCGTCAGTAGCCTCCCTGGGTAGGAGGTTGCTCAAAGCTGTGTAAAAAAAGCTGTCGTGGTGGGGAAGCCTCAAGGGGATGGGGCAGGAATGCAAAGACCTGGAGGTCTGGGGGCACTGGGGGCACCCAGGACCAGTGCCATACCCTGGGTGTAGGGCCGAGGCAGGACACTCTGCGGGATGGGGAGATGTTTTTGTGCTTTCCCCATCACCTGGGACCTGTCGGTCCCAGCTGGTGGAGGAGAGCAGAGCTGGTAAGCACTCAGGGATGATCCACACCGACTGTGGCCAGTCGCCGGAGCATCATGAGGGTTCGGAAAGAAACCAGCTCTGCACAAGTGGCACGAGCATGTTTGTTAATCCAGCTGCACCCCTATAGCGTGCATGGAAAATGAGGATGAGGAGTTTAAGGAAACGCCAACACAAGAGAGGTCTCGGGAACTTAATGCTTTATTGTCTCACGGGCACCTCACGGGGCCAAAGCACAGCCCAGTGCATCAGGCAGAGGCAGCAGGGAAGCACAAGTGATGCCCCTTCCCCAGGGAGCGATGGTCCCGGAGGGCAGAGGAGAGGGTTTGCAGCCGGGCAGCTCCAGGCTTGCAAAGCTTTGGGGAGGCCGGAGGGAGCTGGTCCATGCGTGGCCTTTGCTGCCGGAGCCGGGGTGTGCAGGACACGCCATCACTTCAGCTTCTGTGAGGGCAGCTGGTGGACCTGCTGCTGCTGCTGCTGCTGCTGCTGGCACTGGACCTGTGGCTTCCCGTGGCAGCCACCACCGCCAGAGCTGTGGCAGCCACCAC